ACTATCGTACAAATCTTACAAGTCCGTAATCGGTGCAGAATTTCTGCCCGTTTTTCACACTCTGCACTTGTTTGTGCTTTCCTTGCAGTTTTCCTCACTGCTGTTTGATATCTGCCACATCAGCAAATAATCAAAGTCTTTAGATTGTCACAATTCATTCTATTCTTCCTTTTGTGCCAAAAAAAAAAAAAGATAAGTTAAATGCTTCCATTTAAATAGAACACAATAGAAATGTAAATAGCCTCATCAACTAATCCACATCTGTTTCTTTGTAATTACCGGATGCATGATGGTTTAGCCCACACATTTTGAAAAGCCAGCTTTTTTAATTAACACACACACACACACACACACACACATTCAGGATACAAGCCAGGACTCTTTAAAGAGAACAGGAAAAAAAAGTTAAAAAGCTAGATGAAAACAGTGGCTCCGTACATAGTATATCTGTGTTTCGTTGTTATTCGGCAGCTATCTTTTCCGGCAAATCAAAACGGTTATTTTATCTACATGTAGGAAAGAGTCATAAAAATGTAAAATGAGGATCCCATTTTAATGGCTGATGTTTGCTGAAAAGTGTAGACCAATTTTCTTCAAATCAGGAGAAAACTCTGCTTACAACAAGGGGCTGAGTTACTGCTATCCTGTATCAGCAGATTTAACAAAACAGCAGTTTTGTTCTCTGAACGAGGTATAGTAGATAGTCCTTGGCTTGCAAACACTCATTTCCAATGCTAAGCAAGGCGGTTCTTAAGTGAGTCATCCCCAATTTTATGACCCTTTTCTACCACAGCTGTTAAGCAATAAAGATGATTAGGGGGCTTGAGGCTAAAACATACGGAGAACGGTTACAGGAATTGGGTATGTCTAATCTAGTGTAGAGAAGAACTAGGGGAGACATGAAAGCAGTCTTCCAATATTTGAGGGGCTGCCCCAAAGAAAAGGGGACCAACCTATTCTCCAAAGTAACAGAAGGCAGGACAAGAAGCAAGGGATGGAAAATTAAACAAGGAGAGAAGCAACCTAGAACTAAGGAGAAATTTCCTGGCAGTGAGAACAATTAATCAGTAGAACGACTTGCCTCCAGAAGTTGTGGGTGCTCCAACACTGGAGGTTTTGAAGAAGAGACTGGACAGCCACTTGTCTGGAGTGGCATAGGGTCTCCTGCCTGAGCAAGGGGTTGGACTAGAAGACCTCCAAGGTCCCTTCCAAGTCTGTTATTCTGTTATTTGATGCACATCCCATCACAGAGACATCTTCCATGCAAGAAAGGAAACTAACGAGATTGGAAACTATCGTTTCATGTAACTATCAGGGAAACAGGCAAAAGTAGACTGAGTTGTCCACAACTCCATCACACACACTTTTAATTTAGAGGGAGACATGATCTACAACCAATTGTATCCTTCCTAAATAAATGAGCACTTGTAATGAGTTGGGAAGCACCTATCTTTCAGCAACGGAGTTGGATATTTCCATAAATTCTATTGCTGTGGCGTCAGGCTGGAATCTTCCTTGGAAAATTTTCTGTTTCAACTGGTGATGTTTAGACAAACTGCAATGTACTTCTTTCTCCGAGGTTCCCATTTCTGCTGCCAGATTTCCGTGAGTTTATTCACCAAACTGAGCTGCTTGTGTAGGCAAGTGGACAATGATTGACACGTATTGGAGAATAAGTAATAGGCTAAACCTCTCGGGTTTTATCAAATCCTTCATCAAATCTAGAAAAAGACTCAGCAGGGGCTCCTCCATAATAGACAAAGAAGAGAACAACAAACGAAGCAACGTTGTCATTCCATACATTGCAGGAATGTCTGAAAAGCGCAGGAGGATTTTCAACCAACACAACCTACATGTACATTTTAAACCCAAGCTTGCCCACCCCAAGGATAAAACACCCAGACACAAACTGAGCAATGTGATATATGCAATACAATGCAGTCAGACATGTGCAGATCTGTACATCGGAGAAACAAAATAATCACTTCACAAATGCATGGCACAACATAGGACAGTAGTGGCGAACCTATGGCACGCGTACCAAAGGTGGCACTCGTAGCCCTCTCTGTGGGCACATGCGCCATCGCCCCAGCCCCGCCTCCCCCCACGGCCCCCTCCTCACCAGCAGCCCCCCTGAAGGAGAGTCGCCCCCAGGTACGGCCTGCATGGAGCAGCTCAGCGAAGCACATGGTAGCAGGGACAAGACTCCACCCTTGTGCCCCATCACGCGTAGATGATGCTGCAGGACGCGGGTGGAGGGGATGGCCACCATGATGCTGCTGGGCCACCTGGGCAATCTGCTATGGCAGGCTGTGGAGGCTGTGGGTAGTCATGCGGGTGGGTGGGGTGGGGTGTAGTGGGGGCAGGGCAAGGGGACGGAGCGGGGGCAGGGGCGGAGCAGGTGGGATGGTTTTGGGGCACTCAGTCTCTAAAAGGTTTGCCATCACTGATATAGGAGAACAAACCCATCAGGAGAAGATTCGGCAGTTCATCTGCATCTGAAAAACAAAGATCTTTTGAAGACAGCAAAGTCCACATTCTGGACAGAGAGGACCACTGGTTTGAAAGAGAGGTCAAAGAGGCCTCAACAGAAGGGAAGGGATACAACACCACCTATCTCCTGTTTACAACAAAGTCTTTTCAGCAGTTCCAAGAAGGTTCCACACACACTTTTCTGGTGACCCAGAGAGCACAGATAAACCTCCAAGTGGCCTCAAGAGCTCTCAGGGAGAGTGCTAACGATCAGAGGACCGCAAAGCAATGTGATCCTTTCAACCCCCGCCTCCCCATTCTTCCATCAACCCCCCCATCCTGCCAAAAGCGATGAAGCGTCTTGGATGAGAAGTGAAAGATGTTCAAAGTCCAGTTGCCTGTTGAAAAAAGCGCCTTTGAGACAACTGTGACCTGGATGACTGAGAAATCTCCACAAGCCACTCTCGAGTTTTAACTAACATTATTATGTCTTGTAAAACCAAGATCATGGCATCCGGCCCTCTCAATTCCTGGCAAATAGACGGGGAAGAAATGGAGGCAGTGACAGATTTTATCTTCTTGGGCTCCAAGATCACCTCAGATGGGGACTGCAGCCAAGAAATTAGAAGATGCTTGCTCCTGGGGAGGAAAGCCATGGCAAATCTAGACAGCATCCTAAAAAGCAGAGACATCACCCTGCCAACAAAAGTGTGTATAGTCAAGGCCATGGTTTTCCCAGTTGCAATGTATGGCTGTGAAAGCTGGACCATAAGAAAGGCTGAGCGCCAAAGAATGGAGGCCTTTGAACTATGGTGCTGGAGAAGACTCCTGCGAGTCCCCCGGACTGCAAGACGATCCAACCGGTCAGTCCTAGAGGAGATCAACCCTGACCGCTCTTTAGAAGGCCAGATCCTGAAGTTGAAACTCAAGTACTTGGCCACCTAATGAGAAGGAAGGACTCACTGGAGAAGAGCCTAATGCTGGGAAAGATTGAGGGCAAGAGAAGAAGGGGACAACAGAGAATGAGATGGCTGGATGGAGTCACTAAAGCAGTAGGCGTGAGCTTCAATGGATTCCAGAAAATGGTAGAGGACGGGAAGGCCTGGAGGAACGTTGTCCATGGGGTCGCGATCAGACACTTCGCAACTAACAACAGCAACATTATGTCTTGTAGGCCTTGATGTTCAGTCTGGAGTTCCTTGTAAGCTTTGAATTCTGCACATTTGTCCTGCACATTTGTCTTGTTGATTTGGTTCCCCGATGCTGCTAAGCCATTGCTTTAGATTAAGAAGCTGTCAGTAGCCAAACCACTATTTCTCAACGCAGTTCAGGGGTCAGGAGATTGCTGATGACACAGCGGTGTAGTTTTAAAGCAGCTCCAGATAATAAGTCATGTTCTGTCACTGTGTTGTTTTTTTTGTGGGTCAGCCCCGGAGCAGATTATTCGTGGGTACAAGCCTGGCCTTATCGATCTGCATCTTCACCTTATTGTGTAGGCAATTTTACTGTCTTTTTTTTAAAAAAAATCCGCACCTATTACAGCTCGTAGTGTGTGAGCCTGTTTCTGATAAGCTGTAACAAATAAAGTTGTATCTGCAGCTTCATCTTAGAGGTTTCTTGAAATGTGATCCTGGGCGTTATCCCAATTTACACATGGGAATATGGAAAACCTGGTAGCGATTTTTGTGGGCTGTCAGTGTAAGCACTGCCTATATTATAAGCATGTTTTTGGTGGGTGGGCATTGCATTTATACCGAGAAGAAAAACAATTGAAACTTTGCTGTGAACAGAAATGGTGACATCCCATGTAAAATGACAAGGACTCCCATTTCATATGCCTCTTTAGAAGGGGCGTTTAAAGATTAATTTCCGTAACAAACCTTGAAAAAAAAATTGGGTTGCAGTTAGGAAGAAAAACTAAAGCTGCAACTCTGTTTATATAGTGGAAATAGAACATTTTTCTCTTCGTCGCCTTCTTTCCGTGTAATGTAGTTTTCAACTTGAAAATATCTATAAACGTGGAGTAAAATCTTTGAGACAATATTCAAGTGCCAATTTTAGTTTTCTACAAGTGGTCCTCAACTTACAACAGTTTGTTTAATGTCTGCTCAGAGTTATAACGACACTGAAAAAAGGGACTTATGAGCGTTTTTCAGTTATGACCGTTGCAGCATCCCCACGGTCATGTGATCAACATTCAGACACTTGGCAACCGACTCATATTTATGACGGTTTGCAGCATCCCGGGGTCACGTGATCCCCTTTTGCGAGCTTCTGACAAGCAAAGTTAGAGCCAGATTCACTTAACAACCATGTTACTAACTTAATAACTGCAGTGATTCACTTGATAAGTATGGCACTTAAAAGTGTCTCACTTAGCCACAGATATTTTGAGCTCAATTTTGGTCGTAAGTCAAGAACTACCTGCATTATTCCCTGTCATTTTAAGCAATTATCTCAGTAGCTGCAACATCGTTGTTATCTTAAGACAAGATTACTGTGCCTCATGTTGTTGTTGTTGTTTCTAGGTGATGTTATTGTCTACATTAATGAAGTATGCGTCCTTGGACATACCCACGCGGACGTCGTCAAACTCTTCCAGTCTGTTCCCATTGGTCAGAGTGTCAACCTGGTGCTATGTCGTGGATACCCTTTGCCCTTTGACCCTGAAGATCCTGCCAACAGCATAGTGCCACCACTCACCATGATGGAGAGGCCTCCGGTCGTCATCAACGGAAGACATAACTATGAAACTTATTTGGAATACATTTCTAGAACTTCCCAGTCTGTTCCGGATATAACAGATCGGCCGCCACATTCTTTGCATTCCATTCCAGCAGAGAGTCAGCTTGATAGCACATTCCCACCACCCCTCCATGATGACAACATCTCCATGGCCTCGTCAGGAGCCACTCAAGCTGAACTCATGACCTTAACCATTGTGAAAGGGGCCCAGGGCTTCGGCTTCACCATAGCAGACAGTCCCACAGGACAGAGGGTGAAGCAAATCTTAGATGTTCAGGGCTGCCCTGGTTTATGTGAAGGTGACCTCATTGTCGAGATCAACCAGCAGAATGTACAGAACATGAGCCATGCCGAAGTAGTGGATATACTTAAAGAATGTCCGGTTGGCAGCGAGACTTCTTTGTTTATCCATAGAGGAGGTAAGTCTGGGAAGTCTACTCAATTACATTAATTTGTGCGAAAGTTTTAAAACATGCTTCCTATATCAGTGTGTTATGAAATAGAAGACAGCTACCTCCTTAAATATAGTAGGTGATGATGATGGTGATGGTGATCATGATGATGGTGACCATGATGATGGTGATCATGGTGATGATGATGATGGTGATGCATGGTGATGGTGATGATGATGGTGATCATGGTGATCATCAGGATGGTGATCATGATGATAGTGATCATGACGGTGATCATCAGGATGGTGATCATGATGGTGATCATGGTGTATGGTGATCATGGTGGTGGTGATGGTGATCATGATGGTGATGCATGATGATGGTGATGGTGACCATGATGGTGATCATGATGGTGATGCATGATGATGGTGATGGTGACCATGATGGTGATCATGATGATGTGCATGATGGGGATGATGATGGTGGTGATGATGGTGATCATGATGATGATGTGATCATGATGGTGATCATGATGGTGATGATGTTATCCATTCAGTCATGTCCAACTTTTGACGACTCCATGGGCCAGGTCTCTCCACATCTTCCAATTGTGCACTACTTCTTTGATGTCTATGGAGATTCTCCGTCATCCAGGTCATGGTGGTTCCAAAGTGCTTTTTCAAGAGGCAACTGGACGTTGTTTCTCCTTGAAGACATTTCGCTTCCCATCCAAGAAGCTTCTTCAATTCTTTTCTTCAGGCAGAAGCTTTTTGGATGAGAAGTGAAACATCTTCAAGGAAAAACAAAGAAAGTCCAGTTGCCTTTTGAAAAAACACCTTTGGGTCTACTTCTTTGAGTTTTTCTATGCTCTGGCTGGTGTCGGCTTTAAGGGTGTCCAGTTACCGTGTTCTTAAATACAGTAAATAAAAAAATGCAAACGTAGACAAAACGCAATATTATAAATTCTTCTTCCCTGTGTTTTATTAAATACTCCCATGAAGCACTCACATGTGTTCATGAAAATTATGATATTCGTGTCATTTTGTTTGCTGTAATATTTAATACACTATAGGTAATCCTCAACGTACGGTCACAACTGAGCCCAAAATTTCTGTTGCCAAGTGAGACATTCATTAAGTGAGTTTTGCCTCATTTTACGGCCTTTCTTGCCTCTGTTGTTAAGTGAATCACTGTAGTTGTTAAGTTAGCAGCCCAGTTGTTAAATGAATCTGGCTTCCCCCATTGACTTTGCTTGTCAGAAGGTCACAAAAGGGGTATCTTCTGATCCTGGGACACTGTTCTATCCCAGCCTACGTGAGTCCTTGTTAAGCTCACAAGGAGACACCCATTTTGCAACAAGCAAGCTGGAACTGCAGGAAAAAACCAATCCCCTTTTATTATTCACAGACCTGAGTCAATGTCCAAGGCAAACAAACACGGGTCACAGAAACTCGATCCTCAACACAAACAGCTGCCTTCGGCAACCAGGACCTCCCACACCTTTCCTTTTATGATTCAGCCAAGGCGTGGCTTCCTAATGCCTTCTCCTTTGCCTTTGGAGCTGCCCCATTGCATTCCTCTGTCCTACTCGCTTCTCTTGCCTGCACATTCGTGCATCCGGGATTTGTCCCAGCTATTCTTCATCACTGTCCAACTCAGGCTCCCAGCACAACTGTGTCTCAGCCTGAGCGCGAGTAGAGGGGCCAGGCTCCTCCTCTGACTGTAAGTCTTGGAGCTCCTCAGAGCCTTCCTCTGACTCTAATGTCACTCCAGGCCCCTCCTCCTCATCTGATTCCTCAGACTCAGCTGCGGGGTCCACTGGCTGGCGAGAAATCACAACAGACACTGCAACCATCGTAATAAATATGAGTCAGTTGCAAGTGTCTTGATCACATGACCATGACGATGTGGCAACAGTTGTAACTATGAAAAATGGAACATTGTAACTTGGAACAGTCACTAAACAAACTGTTGTAAGTCAAGGATTACCTATACAAGTTGTTTCACATGTGTTACTTAAATGTGATTTTTTTTTCACTTGTGGACTGATCAAGCAGATTGCTCAGTCAAACTGGCTATGAACATGTACAGAAACTGGCTGTACGTAAAATAGGCACCCATATTTATATCCTGTAGATGCCTTAACTTTGAGACTATTCTCTAACTCAGAGGTCTTCAAACTTGGCCCTTTTATGACCTGTGGACTTCAACTCCCAGAATTCCTCAGCCAGCGTGCACATTGGCTGAGGCATTCTGGGAGCTGAAGTCCACAAGTCATAAAAGGGCCAAGTTTGAAGACTCCTGCTCTAACTGGATGATGTTTGATATAATCCATATTACAAAAAATAAGTTTCAGATTTTTACCCTTATCCGGCTGGCACGAATACATGAATGCTCACATCCATAAGTCATTTATAAACAATTACTACAAATTAAATTTAATTAGAAACTATCCTGAGGAATTAAAATTAATCGAACCTACTTGCAAAGGGAAAGGAATCCTAATTTGCTGTCTACAAATCTGGAGAAACAATAAAGGGACTTTATTGTTTAACATCCTGGAAACTGATAGAGAGGTGGTCTCGACTTAAAACAGTGGATTTAGCGACTGTTCGAAGTTACAATGGCATTGAAAAAAGGGACGTTTGACCATTTTTCATACATATGACTGCTGCAGCATCCCCGGGGCCATATGATCAAAATTGCTCACCAAATGGTTCATATTTATGACCGTTGCAGAGTCCAAGGATCACAGGATCTCATTTTGGGACCTTCTGACAAGCCAAGTCAATGGGGGAAGCCGGATCCACTTAACAACCGGGTTACTAACTGATCAACTGCAGAGATTCCCTTAACAACTGTGGCAAGAAAAGTCATAAAATGGGGCAAAACTCACTTAACACATGTCTCACTTAGCAACATAAATGTTGGGCTCCGTTGCGACCATAAAAGGTGATTAGGGGGCTGGAGGCTAAACCATATAAAGAATGATTACTGGAATAGGGTATGTCTAGTTCAGGGGTAGGCAACCTTGGCTCTTTTATGACTCGTGGACTTCAACTCCCAGAATTCCTGAGCCAGCCATGCTGAGGGAAAAGGGAGAGGTTTCCAAGCTGAGCCATGCCGGCTCAGGAATTCTGGGAGTTGAAGTCCACGAGTCGTAAAAGAGCCAAGGTTGCCTACCCCTGGTCTAGTTCAACGAAAAGAAGGACCAGGGTTGACAGGATAGCAGTGTTCCAATATTTGAGGGGCTGCCACAAAGAAGAGGGGGTCAACTTATTTTCCAGAGGGCAGGACAAGAAACAATGGATGGAAACTAGGAGAGAAGCAACCTGGAATTAAGGAATTAAGGAGAAACTTCCTCCTAACAGTGAAAACAATTAACTAGTGGAAGACTTGCCTTCAGAAGTTGTGGGTGCTCCATCAGTGAAGGTTTTCAAGAAGAGACTGTCTGAAATGGTGTAGGGTCTCCTGCTTGAGCAGGGGGTTGGACTAGAAGACCTCCAAGGTCCCTTCCAGCTCTATTTTGATGGATTGATTGATTCATTGATTGATGGTCATAAGTGGACTCATCAGTGGAAGTCCTGAAATACCAGCTTAGGAATTGATCCCTGCCTGAGTAACATGTACAGTATATTAACATAATCACAAAGGGGTTGAAAGATCTTAAATACTTGCAAAATATTTAGCTCTTTTTTATTGACTCTTCCATCTATTGTCTGTTGATCACTCAATTGTGCATTATGCTTCTGTTCTTCCTGTCTTGGTTGTCAGAAATGTTAAGTGTCAAAAGGCATCTGTTGTATAAACAAATGATGGTGGTTTAATTTTACAACTGAATTAACGATGGGAAATCTTCTCTGATTAATGATCCCCTTTCCCCCATTATTCCTGTCTCTTCCCTCATTTCTCAGTTGAACAGACTTACAGAATAACAGAGTTGGAAGGGACCTTGGAGGTCTTCTAGACCAACCCCCTGCTCAAGCAGGAAACCCTGCACTGTTTCAGACAAATGGTTGTCCAATCTCTTCTTTAAAACCTTTAGTGTTGGGGCATTCACAGCTTCTGGAGGCAGGTTGTTCCACTGATTGATTGTTCTCACGGTAAGGAAATTTCTCCTTAGTTCTAGGTTGGTTTGCTCCTTGATTCCTTTTCATCCATTGTTTCTTGTGTGGACTTCTGATGCTTTGGAGAATAGTCTGACCCCCTCTTTATCCAATTCCACTCTCAGCTGCCCATTCAAGTTTTCCTAAACTCTTTTGGAGCAATTGTGAACAATCAGCAAAGGGTTAAATAAATCATTTTTATCTAGAGACTCTAGAAAGAGTACAGAGAAGAGCAACAAAGATAATTAGGGGACTGGAGGCTAAAGCATATAAGGAACAGTTGCTGGAACTGGGTATGTCTAGTCTAATGAAGAGAAGGACAAGGGGAGACATGATAGCAGTGTTCCAGTATCTCAGGAGCTGCCACAAAGAAGAGGGAGTCAAGCTATTCTCTAAAGCACCTGAGTCCAGGACAAGAAGCAACGGATGGAAACTGATCAAGGAGAGAAGCAACCTAGAACTAAGGAGAAACTTCCTGACAGTTAGAACAATTAACCAGTGGAACAACCTGCCTCCAGAAGAGGTGAATGCTCCAACACCTCTTAAGAAGAGACTGGACAGCCATTTGTCTGAAATGGTATAGGGTTTCCTGCCTGAGCAGGGGGTTGGACTAGATGACCTCCAAGGTCCCTTCCAACTTTATTGTTGTTCTTATTATTATTATTATTATTATTATTATTATTATTATTAATAATAATAATAATAATAATAATAATAATAATAATAATACAAGATAGGATGTTATGTTGACCTCTCTCCTCTTCCCTATCAACTCTATCCCTATGTTAACAATTAATAAAACGACAATAGTAAAAAAATAATAGCATAAAATCCTTGCAACTTTCCTTATTTTTTTTCTCTCATTTATCTATAACTTTCCATGTTTCTAAACTGCAGGCTACAAAACCGTCCTTTTGTTTT